ATTATCAGATATGAGTATATGACAATCAATTTTTGAAATTAATAACTGGTTTCACCATGAAAAACTTATTACTACAAGTAAAATGCTGAAAAACATTTTTTTAAATGATAAGAGATAAAGTAATAAATCTCATAAGTCTAACATATATTATTGAAATCTTAAATTAACATCCGGTGTTTAAAAAAAAAATAAAAAAAAATTTTAAAAATACAATGGAAGGATTTAACTACTTTGGCTTTTATTTGGATCAATTTATTTGTGAAAAACTCACTAAATAAATATCACTTATCATTTACATACTATACTAAATACCATTAGATTTGATTTACTACGCAACAAATTTTAGGCATGACAATAAATTATTAAATTTTTATTTTATGTATCAATTTGTTATACTTTAAACAATTTAAATGGTTTTAAGCAAAAAATTTTTTTAAATTATTGTAATATATTTACTGAAATGTAAAGTTTTTGCATTGAAATCAAACTACGTACTAAAAGTTAACCTCGTGTCTTTAGTTCCAATATAACTCCATCATTATTATGTTGGAAAATTTATTTTTCAATAAGTGTTTTTAATTTAAATTCTTTATAAATCTCTTCCATAATCTAAAAATTATTATTGTTATTATCTGTTGTACTATATTATTTCAAAGATTTTTGAATTATTTCTGAAATTGATTAATCTATCTTATTAAAATAAAACTCTGAAGTGTTGTGAGAAATGTTTGCATGATTAATTTTGTTAATTTTATTTTATAGTTATTGTTTTATTTAATAATTGTTTATCATAGTATTTTCTTTTTTTTATCTTAGTAATCTTTGACAATCTTCAATATTAAATCAGTTGGAAATATTATTTTTAAATAGAAAATAAATGGAAGTGCGTTAGAAATGGTACATTTAATGTACTTGAATAATCTAAAATAATATAATTTAATATTGTTTTTATTTATTATGCAGAACATAATTTCTAACAACTATGACAATAAAATATATTTATTTTTTTAATATCACAGTTATCTGATTAAATTTTTGAATTTGTTTTCTTGCACAACCATTATAGAACTTTCATTGCATGCGTCATACAGAAATTTCAATCTAAAATAAAAATAAAATACCATTCAACTATATATATAGAATTAATAGAAAAATCAAACAATAAATAAATATAATAATATAACAATACAATATTATATTTTATTTAAATTCATCTAAAATAATTATAACATCAAGTTGTAATAATTTTTTTTTTTTTAATCATCTATAGATCAGTTATGGCAAACCTTTTAATAAGCAGGTGTCAAATCAAAATTGTTGGTTTAATTTTATTTTCCTTGGGTATCAGAAACTTATCAAACTTTTTAAATAATAATTAACTAAACATAATGACAGGATTTTATTTGCTATTATATATAAACTCAACAGTATTTACAATAATTTATTCTTACACATTAATATAAACAGTACAATACACTTTTTTTTTTTAAATATGTTAAAATGATTACAAAAAACAAGTTTTTAATGAGAAATCTATTGCTGCATTTTTGCAGCTTACCAATTAATCTTGGGATTATAATTTCTTCAGAAAGTAAAGAGAAAATAATGAATTATATTTAAATTGGCGTATCACAGAAATAATATGTGCGTGTCACTCTTTGACATGCATGACATAGGTTTGCCATTCTTGATCTAGATTTTAGAGTATAAAACTTACTTTGATACACAATGTTCATATTTTTCTACGGTAAAAGTGCTCTTTCATATTTTCAAATGCCTTCACACAAGATATCACCAATAAACAAAGAACTTCTATGCGTAATACTAAAAACATTATTTTTTTTATTTTTTTTTTTTTGACAAGTACATAAATATGAGAGTATAAATCATTGAAATTTAATTGAATAAAATACAACATCACACTTAATTATCAATATTATTTTACAGAAAAAATAAATAGCTTAAAATTACTACTTTATTAATATATAAACTAATAAAATTTATTTATTTATTTCATATGAAGTAAACTCCATTTACAAAAACAATCACAGCAACTAAACATATGTTACATATCAGTATACAAATTAAAACATCATAGTAATGAATTTCTAAATAATAATTAGGTATAATAAGAAATAAACAAAAATAATCCACATATTGGTATAGCAATCAATTACATTAACTAGCCTAGTATACCTATTAATTAATAATTTTAAGTTATTTGTAATTAAAAATTAGTTTAAATATTAGGTAATGTTTATAAATTTAATGTCAAACTTATATCATTTATCGAACAGCAATATAAATCTAACTTAATACTATTTCTAGCCATCAATAAAGTATTAGGGAGAAAGAAAATAGATGCTTGACTTTAACATTATTAATAAAAAATGGGTCTTTAATTCTTGAGTTTTTATAATCTATTTGAAAATTTATTTTTTCTAGTAATTGAGCACATTGAATTATATTATGTATTAATTTATATAGGAATATTATATTAAAATAATTTCTTTGAGTTTTTAGAGTTGAAATATTGAAAAAACCTAAGATACCATCATAAGATGAATGAGGATTTTGAACATTAAATTTATAAGAAATTAAGCGTTATTGGGAAACCAAATAAAAAAGCATATTATAGATTGAAACATACCAAAGAATTATAAACATTTATTAGAGCGTGAACGTTACTAAATTCTGAACAGATACGCTTTAAAAAACCTAATTTTTGATATTGCTTTATTTCTTATTTTATCAATATGATAATTAAAATTTAATTTCACGTCAAAATAAATACCTAAATAATTAATAATAAATACACATTAAATAACAGAGTTTAATTAATTATAACCATATTATATAAAGTTTTTATTTTTTATAAAAAAAATTAAATTATAGCACATTTATTAATATTAAGTAGCACCATTCATGAAAACAATTTAAATCTGATTGTAAAAGCATAATGTCTAATTTAAAATGAATAGTCTTATAAATTTTTGCTTCATCAGCAAACAGTAATAAATTTAATTTTTTTTAGCTAAGGATACATCATATATAAAAATAAAAAAATTGAGTAGGTAATAGATTGGTCACCTTGAGGAACACCAAAAGTAACTGAAATTGGATTAGATTATAAGTTGCCATATTTTACTATTTGAAATCAATTTTTTTTAAAGGAATTAACCACCATAATTTTATAATTTTTTAACTATGTTATAGTTTACTTTGTCAAAGACTTTCTCAAAGTCTGAATACACCACATCGGTTGGAGCATTAGAAAAAAAGTAATTAATAATGTGATGTTTGAAAATTACTAGGTGAGCAAACTTATTGTTCATTATTTTACTACACTTATATATGAACATTTTTTTAACATAACTTTTAAAATTATTTTTCTATTTAAATTTACTGTTGGACACAATTACAACCATTCAAGATGCATTTAAACTTTTCCATACTCAAATTGTCTTTTGTACAGTCTATATTAATTAATTCAGAATTAAAAACATCTAGCCAATCTTCAAATGATGAATTAACCCTTTCACAATAATCACTAAACTCAGAAATCTTTTCTTCATTTTCAAGTGTTGTATAAATATAAATCAAATTTTCTAAATTGTCTCTCAATTGGATGTATGGGGTATCATTGATATTTTCATCTACAATAAAATAATTTGGTTTATTAATTAATTTAATACTTTAAGATAATTATATGATATTAATTAAGTAATTGTAACTTACAAATTTTTATTGATTGCAATAAATATTCTTCAGCCAGTTGAAAATTGGGAATAAAAGATTTGTACAAATTACTCAAACAATCTAAAGATACAGCAAAACGAAAGTGGTTTTCTCCTAAAATTGATTTATAGATTGCATTTGCTTTTTTATTAAATTCTTCGGATAGCTGTAAACATATTAATAATCGTTTTCATAAGTATAAAAAATGCAATACTATAAACAGAAAAATAATTTAAATATTACAAAAAATTTATCATGAAACATAAAATGAACTCCTATAGACATGTATGCATTTGCTGCAAGTAAAGAGTTTTCTCCAACTGATTGTATAATACTCTTTAAACCATCTGAGTAAAAAGCTGATGCTTCTTGTAATAACACGCGCTTCCGCTGTGCCAGTAATCCATCTATATCATTACTAAGATCTGAAACAATGTATTTTTATTATTAAAACTATTATAAATCATTAGCATATTTTAAATATCCAAATAATGTCATATTAAAAATTCAACCGGTATAGTAATATCAAATTATTATAATAATTAAATAAATTCTCATAACTTAATTAAAATTGCTAACATGAGTGAGTATTATTTTTATTTATCTTTTTAATTCCAAGGGCTAAACAATACCTCTACAGTTCTTCAACTGACCATTTCCACAAAAAAATGTAGCTGAATCATCAGTAGTTGACGGGTGTAAGCATAAAAATATATGTAATCTAGCAAGATTAAATATTTTTGTGAGATAATTTAATATTTTGTTTCTATAAATAGGATTTTAATCTTATAAGTTTTGAATTAATTTCCAATTTTTAGTTTCACTTTGTTAAAGTTTTAAAATTAATAATACATTAAACGATACATTTGAACTTTACAATGTATAAACTTATAAAAAATCAAAAATTATATTTTTAACTCTGATGCTTTCTGTTAACAGACAATATGGTTCTTAGCAAAAATAATGTTAATAATTTAATATGGCTCTAACTTCTAAATTACCATATTTAAAATGTTTTATAGATTAGATATTTGATGTTTTCATTTATTATTTTAAACTTACTCTTCTAAGGATATTACATAAAATAATAGATGTACAAACAATTAATATGAATATTAAAATTGAACATCACTTACTCATGTAAATTGCTGTTTCTCCTAATATTCTTGCTTTTATCATATAAGCATTCTTTAACAACATATTGTCCTCTGGTACACCAACCGTTTTCATGATGAATATAGCTTGTAGTACGCATCGCCTAAGGTAGTTAAAAACGTTAAACAAATAATAATTTATCAATAAATTGTTTGTCTTACATAGATTCATTGTTTTTATCTAAATAATCAACTATATCAAACTTTGAACAGACAAATGCATAATCAACAAGAACCAATGCAGTATTTAAATTGTAGTAACCATATAAATTTCGTGTGAGGTCTAGTGCTTTCTAAAATGCAATAAAACTATCTTAATTAATTATTTTAATTTATCATAAGTATACAACAAACTATACTTACATAATAACGTTTATTGGCATAATTTGGGCAATCTATTACACTATAGTAAAATCCTTCATTCCGTAATAAATCAATATGAATATTATCACGAATGTTTGTGGGTGTGTAAGTAATTAATTGCTTTCCAAACAATTTTGCTATATATAGTTTGTCTTTTATACAAGCAACTTTAACGGCATGACTTAATACCATAACTTTCAATGTTTGGTTATCTTCTTGAAGTTCAAGGACAGCTTTAACTGCCCACGACCAAGCCTAAATTATCACATTCCATATTTAAATTTTAAATTAAATTCCCCAAAAATGTAACAAACCTCATCAAATTCCATTAATATTAGATGGTATTGCGAAACCGCTACATACGAGTATGATAAACAAAATTTTCTTGCAACTATTTGTTCAATGATATTGATAGTGTACAGCAAGTGTTGTAAAACTACTTTAGCATTATTAAATTTCTGAGATTTTGTTGCAACCATTAACCACCTAGAAAAAAATATGTTTTTGTAAAATCAACTATTATTTAAAAGTCAATCATTTGAAATTCAAAGTTTCTGTAACTTGGTAAGACATTCAATGGTTTTGAGAAGTTGTAAATTTTGGTCCTGACAAACCCATTTTGTAGTTATTATTTTATATGTGTGTTTTAAGATTAGAGCACTTTCATTGAACCAGCCAGCATCGCCAAAAAAATTTCCTATGTATCAATCATATTTTAATAAATTTTCAAAAATAAAAAAATTCTTTTACAAACCTAGAAGAAGACTTTTTTCTAAATGACGAAAACATAATTTGTCTTCTGATATTTTTGTTTTAATCCATTTTTGAGCAAAATTGTATGGATATTTAAATCCATGCTTTAGTACACAAATCTAAAAAAAAATATGTTTTTAAGTGTCATTAATTATATAACTCTAAAGTTATTGTCATTATAAACGACCATTGTCCACTGTTTCAATTTTTTGTTTTATTTAAATAATACCTGTAATAAAGGAAACAATCTGTATCGCAGGTCTTGGATTTTAACTAATTTAAAAAATAATTCTTGGTCAATTAATGTAGGCCAATCAAATTGACCATAACATTTAATCTAAAACAAAAAAATAAATAAATGATTAATAAGGTTTAAATTTGATATCTAAACCAATGTTGATATATTACTATAAAAAAATTAATTGAGACTTAAATAATATATATTATATATGTTATTTATAATAAGATAAGTTTAAATTTAAGTATAAAATAAACTGTATTATTTATTTTTTCTCATTTCACATACAAATTTAGTTGTTTCATTTATTGAGTTTTGAAAAAAAAGTCTTGTTGCTTATTTTTTTTTTTTTTTAATTTAAATATAAAGAAATGTATTTTACTAAAAATTGATATAACATTAGCTATGAAAATACTTTATTTGTATTTATTCAAAACGTAACGTTATTTAGCACAATATAAACCTTATATTTAAAGCCCATGTTTAACATGTTATTAAGGAAATAAAATACTTTTGTAATGCTGTAATGATTCTTTTTTTAAAAAAAGGACTTCTAAACGATCAATGGTGTTGTGTGTTATACCTATCTATGTTATTTTTGCAATTTTTAGTATATAAAAAACAGAATTCTTAGCAGTGTCTACTACAAAAAAAATTATTTACATATATTAAATTGATTAAAGACATTATTTTTAAAAAATTTTAACTTAACCCAATCCTATGACAAATGTATAGGTTGTATATTCTATGGAAATATTTTGTAAAATATTCATAAATCATAGCATAGAATTAATATTAAACAATTTAACAACAATGATATTAAATTCATGCGTAATACTTTCCCGATTGAACTATCTTTATTATTATTGTGAAATCTCTGTCAATGGAAAAACAAGTCCCATCAAATTAAATGTATTAATTGTATAAAATGAAGTTAATTCCGAAATTATATAAATATTTAGTTAGTACAGCATAATTTTACTTAATATTTTTTGTTAACTGATTTATTGGCATAATATATTATTATTGTATCTTAATAGTGTATATCTTTTTTTTTTTTTTTTTTATGATGATTAAGTATCATACTGATCTAAACTATGTTTTATAAATAATGCGAAACTTATATAATTAGGTATTATAAAAAAAATATATTAAAAATACTTCTTGAGTTTTTCCAAATTCATCAAGTTTTTCAGAGGTTAAATCATAACATGAAGTAGTATATTCAATATGGTCTGAACGTATGTGAGCCATTTCACATCCTCTATCAAGTGAACATGGTTCAAGTCGGTCATCTAATAACTATATTCAACAAAAGTCAACATTTTAATCTTTGACAAAATATAATTTCATGCACAAAATTATTTCTAACCAGCCGTAAGACATCTGCACAGATGTTTGGTGGTGCTTGTTTTAACACATATCGCATTGTACTTTCGTCCATCGTTTCGCATAATTGATGTAATGATAGCTCGTACAGCGACATAATTTAAGATTTAAGCTAGGTACTTTGAAAGATCTAGAAAATAAAAATATTTCAAAAAAATTGCAATAAAAAGCATAAATCTAGTTTAGCGCCCCTTGCAAATTTTTCATTTTTCAACAAGTTAGAACAATGGTGCAAAAATCATCAGTTTTTGTGTTAAAGCTTTGCAAAAAACGCAATTTTTTGTTGTTTTACGCATGCGTACTACTCTTAATCACGTAATCGCGCTTATAATGAATTTTTCAATTATTTGTTTTGAAACCTAGTTAAATCAATGTTAATCACTTATAATTTGTATTGTTCCATTATGCAATACCTCTAATTTATAGTGTTTTTACATAATAAGTCGAGAGATTTTTTTGATTTTAATTATTCAAGTGAGCAAATTATTATGCTGGATGTATATTAAAATACCATTAATTTCAATTTGCTATAATGGTTTAACTAAATTCTGATCTCCTCGTTATTTTCAGTATATTTAACAACATAGATACGTTAAAACAACCCAACTACTTAAAATACAAAGGCTTCTGAAAAAAAAGAAATTGAAAAATTCATGGGGCGCTTAACTAGATTTGTTCCCAATAAAATTATAATGTGCATATATACATATACTAACTGACCCCGTTCACTTTTTTGCATGTTAAAAATGCCAACTCTATATAATAATATGATCCAAGCTTTGTTTAATTTGTTATTATTAGCATTTGATGTAATATGGTGTTTTAAACTTAAACATTTTATTGACCATCTTAAATCTCAAAAAATGTGTGCAAGCACATTATTAAAAAGCAAAATATGCTTTCTTATTGCACATTAATTTGATGGAACGAAGGTAGGTACCATGAAAACTGCAAGCCTCGAGCTATGATTGTTTATGTTCATCAGTCAGTCAGTCAGGACACATTCAATTATTATTTGATATTATTAAAGCTATTCCGCTAAGCGTTGCCCGTGAGACCTGCCTATGATGACGCAAACAGCATATTATAAGGTATGTTAACTCAAAAATTTCTAACTCAAAGATATATTAATTTTGTTAATTAATATAAGTGTATAACCTGATTTAACCAGGGAAAAACAAACAATTAATACAAATTACTGGTTTTTATTGGTGAAACACGGTTTTTGTACAACTTTTCAAAGTTTCATTGCGATTGGACATAATATGTCTCAACGTATGTTTATTTTTACGAGCTATACTGTATGATACTGAACAATATTTACAAAGAAATAATTTCTCAATTAACTTATAGAATTGAAATTAAGTCAAAAATCTAGTCCACGGTGTACTCCTTCATTAAAAAAAAATCAAGATATCGGATTTCCATTTTCATATTTATACATATATATATACATACACAGTAATATATGTATTTTATCGTTTAAACTTTTAGAAATACAAAACTACATGTTGGTCTAAGCACGATTATTTTTATGGATAAATTTATCGAAACAACTGATATGTAGTATCTACGCAGATATCAAACACGTAATTTGACGGACAAAAGAGTCTGATTGAAGGTAGCTGGAAACCCCCCGAGCCGCACAATGCGTATTTAGGGATACAATTTACTTGTTTATTATTTAAATTAATAGATAACTCAATTGTTTATTGATTTAGTCAAACAATATTGAAATAGGAATTGCTATAGTTTCCGAGAACATTACCGTCAAAGATTTCTATTTTCGATTTCATATATAAAGAAGAAGATATAAGATATAATGTATACTTACTTTATTTGTTTAATTTCAATCACTTTCAAATTGCCGACAATAAAACAAATTAGTATTATTTTGTCAACACGTACTTACTCGGTCCAGCGATTTCAACTTTGCTTGTTTATAGCAATGTTTGTTTACACACGAACATCACGCAGGCAATGGAATAAAATATAATAATGGATTATTTGTTTCCGTTTTTATAATATCGTAACAAATGGGAATACACGTTACCAACATCTAGTCAGTTATTGATATGGTTTTAACTTTTTGTATCCAATACTTCATATCCTAGGGATACAGTGGATCGCCCAGCTGATTGAGTGTCGTTTTTATATTGTTTTGTGCTAATGTGCTATTAATTATTATTTATTATTATGATTCTTACTCTGTGGTTCGGTACAATGATTGTCCGTAGTTACTATAGAATTAATTTTTTGTTCTATTAACTTGTTAAAATAATTATTAAGTTTATTAAATAATGATCATAAAATTATTTTTATTTGTGTCCGTAATTTATACTTTCTTACATATAAGTTATTAATATCATGAAAACAAATTAAATTTAAATACTCATAATTTTTGTTTAAAATTATTCAATATTTTTTTTTTTTAATAATACAGTTTATTGGTTATCCATATAAAATATGTTATATGTATATGAATTTTAATATATATTATAAATTAGTCTTTATTTTCAACGCTTTATAAATAAATCAATTTTATTCAAAATGTTATTGAACTTTTTATTAGTCGGTCTATTGGTCAGCTTAGTTACAAATTGAGTGTATTACAATTTTTTTCTTTATGGCTTTATGAAAAATTGTATTTAAAAATAATTTATGAAGGTAGTTTTATGGTAAATTGTTTTCAATAATAATTTATTAAGTTATTTTCTTGGTAAAAATATATTAATAACGGGAGCCGGAAAAAAAGTCCGGGGAAAAAAAGTACACGGAAAAAAAGTCCTATTTAATTTTTTTCGGAAAAAAAGTCCGACAAGAAAATTATTATACGGAAAAAAAGTCCGGTTTGATTTATTGTTTCATAAATAATATTTAAACTTATTTAATTAATTCAAAATTAATAATATATATGATTGGTATGATCTAATATAATTTAAAACTATAAAGAATTAAAATTTCACGTCGTTATACTATCTACAGAAATGGAAGGTATTAAGGTAAGGTAGATAGAAAAAATATACTAGAATATATGATAGAAAAATCGTGTACATTAAAAGGCAATAAAGATAGCACAATTAATCTGTATTATAAGATAAAATATGAAATACCCAACGTATACAATATTGATGTTACGATAACGCATAAGAAATCCAGTCGTTGTCCACTCTCGTAGTTATTCACATCGAAATGGAAGAATTAGTAATTTTGAAATCGGGTAAAAAAATTATTTGTAATGGTTTTGCTTACACAGTTAATCATAATCTGTCAACAAGCATCCGCTGGAAATGCTCTCAAAGATTATCTAAAAAGTGTCCGGGTATTTTAATCACTTCAAAAGGTAAATTACAATAAATAAATAATAATAAATTAAAAATAATTATAAAAAAAAAAAATTACTGTAGGTATCACTAACCCTCGGTTAATCAAGGATCATTCACATGCTGGTGATCATAATTTAGCGACAGTTGAGAAAGCTAAAGAAGACATGAATAATCGAATGAAAATAACAACAAATAAACCATGCCAAGTATTTTCAGCTGTAGTAAGTGAACTTCCTCAAAATTGTTTAAAATCATTTAGTTCTGAAGAAAGTATTAAACGTACACTTAGAAACTATAGAAACCGAGGTATTCCACCTAAACCCAATTCTTTGGTTGAACTGACAATTAAAGATGAATGGGCACTTTACAAAAACGAACGGTTTTTGCTATATGATAACAAATTAAATTCCGATGACAGGATAATTATTTTTGCACTTGACGAAGGATTAAAATATTTAACTGAAGCACATACTTGGTATTGTGATGGTAATTTTTCGTTAAGTCCAGAAAACTTCCTGCAGTTATATGTTTTTCGAGTGAAAAAATATGATGTTTTTGTAACTGTAGTTTACTGTTTTCTTCAAAAAAAAAATTATAGTACTTACAAAGAAGTTTTTAGCGTAATTCTAAAAGAATGTGACAATCGACAATTTTACCCGGATCCACAAATTATAAATTTAGATTTTGAACAAGCAACTATAAATGCCGCTCAGTGTGTTCTCGGCGAGCACGTCCGTATACAAGGTTGTTTTTATCACTTGTCTCAAAATACGTATCGCAAGATACAAGAAGTAGGATTACAAGCCAAATATAAAATGGATGATACATTAAGTCATTTTTTTGCTATGTTAGACGGGTTAGCATTTTTGCCAATGAATAAAGTTTACAACGGAATGCAATATTTAAAGACGGTTTGTACAGAAGAAGCTACAGAGGTTCTTGATTATTTCGATTCCACATATGTCAATGGTACATATAGAAAGTCAGGAAAAGGTATGTCTATAAAATTAAAAAAAAATAAACCGTTATTTCCACCAGAAATATGGAACGTTCACGAGGCTACGATAAACGGTCAACATCGTACCAACAATATTTGCGAGAGTTGGAACAATCGTTTTACGCATCTTGTCGGACACGCGCACCCAACCATCTGGAAGTTAATTTCTAAAATGCGTGAAGAGTTAGGAGTAGATAGAGCTAAAATAGCGTTACAAGAATTAGGTGAAGGGATTCCAACACCAAAAAAAAACGTACCGGTGAACGTTTAAAAAATTTATGTTCTAGAGTTGACGAAATATCGGTGGAAGAATTTTTAATTAATATTGGCCATTGCATTCGAAAACGAAATAAATATTAGTTTTAAATTTTAATTATTTATAGTTTTAAATTAAATTTATATTATATATTATACATTTAGTAATTTTGTTTTATTATATATATATTTATTATTTTTATTAATTATGAAACAATATTTTTTATATTATACAAACCGGACTTTTTTTCCGTATAATAATTTTCTTGTCGGACTTTTTTTCCGTGTACTTTTTTTCCCCGGACTTTTTTTCCGGCTCCCATTAATAACAGTGCTAACTGTATATTTTAATCTCTTAATTAAATATAATTGCTGTCTTGGTAAAATTTAATGTTTATTAGTTTGTAATGTTTTGAATAATACAAATGTTTCAGATATTTTTCAATCAATAAATTAACATACATATAATAAGACTAAATATAATACCAGCAAACTAATTTCTACGGTATAAAAAATTGTTTCATTAAATAGAAATTTTAGCTATTAATGTTAATAATTTATTGTTTTATCTAAAAGTTTTTAGCATAGTAAATCAAATTTATTAGTATTGATATACAATTGATAAGTAATATTTATTTAATAAGTTTTTCACAAATACATTGATCTAAGTAAAAGTCAACGTAATTAATTCCTTATACTATAATCTTAAAATTATTTCTTATTTTTTTCTTAGACCATTGTATGATCATTTAAGATTATAATGATATAAGTTAGGCTTATGAGTTTATCACTTTATCTTTTATCAGTTTAGAAAAAAGTTGAATCATCACAACTTTTATAATAGATTGATAATAATAATGTTAAAAGTGACATATTCTTACTTAAGCAACTATTAAGATTCAAGCCTAATTCTCTAATATTATTTCTTTAAGTATTTAAAATACCTTAAAAAGTTAAATATTGAAAAAATTACTAAAATATAAGAACAAAATATTATCTATTAAATATGGTTTAAAATGTAATATTAGACTTTTGTATTTATAGGAATTGTCAATTATTATTATTTGTATAAATTTAATCTTGCATCATCAATGTTTTAATAATATTGTCTTCTTGGTCTGATAAATTTAACTATCATTGGAATATTTTTGCTTTTCAACATTCACATGTTAGTTGTTAAAAAATTTTATTGAGATTATTACTACCTGACTGTTACAATTTAACATATTGTCTGCCATAAAACTTATAGATTATATTATCTTTGTCTGTTAAAAATAATTTATAAATATTACTTTTCTTATTAAATATGGTATGTATGGTACATGTTACTATTATTATTATAAAGTTTAAAAAACATCTGTTGCAGTCATCTGCATAATTTGAATGGGTTTTCTTGTTCAATGTTATCGATGCATCCAAATTGCATGCAAAAAAAATAAACATAAATTGGAATGTCCAAATCACATGCCAACTCTTAGAAGGGTAAAATACTTATAAAACATTTAATTTTTATCTAATGTTATTAAAATTGATGTCCTCAGTTTCATCTACATAATTTAATTATAGATTGATGTATAATGGGTCATTAATGTTCAATCAATGATTATTTTAACTATAGAAAATTGTTTTGTCATACAAGAATTTCCATTTACGTATAATACTACAAAATTCAAATACTTATAAAACATTCAATTTTTATTTGATCTTTATGAAACTGATATCCCTAGTTTCATCTACTTATATTAAGTAGATATTGATGTACTAAAGGTTAATATTTAGTTATTGACCTTTTAAAGTTATTAAATGTTTTGTTATACAACTAATACCTTTTACATTTAATTCTATGAAAGTCAAATATTTATTAGTTCTACTCTCTCTAAAAAACTTTACAATCAATGTTTCTACGTCTGTCAGTATAAATAGTTCACTTCGTCCACGCCTAGCCAACAACACTATCATAACAATCAAAATTAAATAGAAAAATCATTTTTTTTTCAAAATGGATTCTAATAATGTTACAATAGGATTACCATTATTTCAATTCAATTGTCTTTTACAGATTTATAAAAATTCGAGCTTGGATTTAGAATATATTAGTTCATCAAAAATTAGTGTTCAACTTCAAGCTACCATTTCACTGTAAATAACTAATATCATTTTAGTTTACTGGATTGAATATTCATATTTTTTGAAGCTAAGAAGCAATCTGAATATATTACGTGAAACTTCTCAGGGTAAGATAAATAATATTTCAAATTTTTTTTTTTCACGTATTTATTTTTATTTGTACAATCTATATAAAATATATTTACAATAAGCACAATAGATGGAATGATATATTATAATTGGTCATGGTTGGCTTGAGTGAAGAAGCTATTCAGTAATAGCACTTCGTGGCGTGGGTAGAATATTTAAAATTAAAATCTTAAATTGATATATCAGAAATATTCATTGTATTAAAATCTGTTATATTCTATGTATATTTTGTAAGCTTAATAGGCTGAAAAAAATACATTAATTTATAATTAAATTTATGCTTGGATATATTAACAATAATGATAATATTTGTTAACTAATCATTAATGTATTTAAAATAATAATATTCTACACTTAAAAATTATTTTGTTGATTAAAATTTTAGTAATTTTTTTGCTTTTAAAAGTCATGCTAAAAATTCAAAATGTATTTTAATTTAGCTTTACTGCAATTTTGACAAGTATTTACTTTGCCTTTTTTCCATCTAATAAAAATGACTATACGATTCCCAGTATGTTAGATAACTTTTATTTTATTGTTATATCTATTGTACAACATTCTAAAGTAGCAGAGTTTTTTCATAATTGCATGTATGTTTTTTGATATAAAAAATAATTAAAATGACTGTTATTTAATATTTTAACTTTTATCGCCAGGTGTCATTTCATTAATTTTCTGCCGCTGGCTGGTTGTTTTTACATAGTTCAATACTATTCAATGCCATGTTAAAGTGAGTAAATTTCATAAATTTAAGTATTTGCCTTAAAATTTAATATTATTTATAGAATGGTGGATTTTAAAACATAAAATTAAGTCTTAGCATGAGCTGCTGTACCAGATGTAATAATAAGCTTAAATATTTTGGACATAAAATGCGAGATTCATAGACAAAAATGAACTAGAATAATGATTTTTTTTTATTATTATTCAGACATAGACACATATTGTTCTTAGAATTATGGTGTTCTGAATTAACATGTTTAATTCAAGCAGTCTTAATATTCATAAGTTTGATGCAAATTCTTTTCAAAGAAAAAAAAAATTAACAAATAATTGATGAATTATATTTTTTTTTTTTTTTATTACTTAATTTTTATTTTTACAATCTGTTACATAAATTTTTGAACAATAAACGAAATTGTTGAGTTAGATAATTGACATGAAGGACGGGTTAAAGATACCTTCCAGTGAAGGCACTTTTACCAATGAATTATATTAACCTTTTATAGTTTGAATTATAAATTGTTTCATTTTATGATGTGCATTTAAACTTGAAAAGCATTTTTTTTTACATATTTTTAAATGACTGTTTTAATTGCTGTCAATTACATAAATATTGTTGTTTGCTCATTTACAGTTCTACATTTTCAATTATAAAAATTCCGCATTGCATGCATCACTAGTATTGTCATCGGCTCAATACGTTTTGATTATGTATTCATTTGAATACTGCATTTTTGATTTATGGCCCTAATTAAGCACTATATTATGATAAAAAATTTTCATTGTAATTTTATATTTTTATATATAATCCATGTAACAGAGGCGAATAGACAAATAAAAAATTACTAAGAAAATATTCAATGGGGCAGTACTTATCCATTTCAAACTGATCTGTGTTTTTATTTGTAAATTAGAATTTTGTTGAAATATTTTGATAAAATATTGTATTATATCTCACTGACAAACTAAAAACCTAATGTTTACATATTTAAATTAGTAATTTTTAGTCCAAACAAATATCAACAAAAATACATAATATATGTATGCATCAAAAATATCAAATTATAACAAATACTGGTTTTTGTATTCATTAAAAATGTATAAATATATTTGAACTATTTATACCTATTAGCCAAGTTGATCATAAGACAAGTATAGATATAAATTAATAGTCGCCTACTTCAATATTTAAGTTTAAATGAAATTTTTCATATTTTTTGTACTATGTTTTAATTTTATAATTTATCAGTTATATTATAGCTGATATTATTTGAAATTACATTAAAAAAAAAAAGTATTGAAAATGGAATCTACTCATCCAAAAAATAATCATTTGAAGAATAGACATATACAAGATAAACTACCAGTACCTGGTGTAACTAATAAAAGATCAATATTTAATTCATCAAATAAAGACGATACTGTAAGCATGCAATTTAGTGTTATTTGATGTAAATCAGTTATAATATTTTGTTTTTTTTTTAGAATATTACTCAATCCAAGAAGTTATGCACCAATGAAATTAACAAACCTTCCCAGGTAGAAACACCATCAAACAATAATACTTTGCATCATGATATAATCAGTGGTTATCCTTCAAATTTAGAAGTATTAGATAAGGTATAGCATTTATAATTAATTTTTTTTCCTATGTTATTAATTAAAATCATATTATTCAATTACTAGGACACTATTCCACTGGAATTAAGATATTTTAACAATTGTTCGTCGTATTTAAGAGGTATTGTTTACAATACATTAAAAAATTATCCAGATATGTCTCCAAGAGTTTCCCCCAAAGTTTCAAACCATTTATTGATGTTTCAGGTAAATTTTTTGTAAATTACTTCTAACTTTACATTTATATGTTGCAAAGTTATTATTATAATTTCTTTCCCCAAAAATTTTCCTTAATCATTGCAATGTCTGTTGAATGTGAAGAATGGGCTAAAGTAGTGAACTATGTGTTCTTGGCATGGAAACGTGTTTACTGTACTCCGAAGTGACGCGAATATCATTTAAATTTATTACGCATAGAAGTTCTTTGTTAATTGTGAATACAATTAAAAATCTGAAAAAGAATGGTGCTTTTACCGTAGAAAAATATGAACATAATTCATCAATGTAAGTTAAGTAGCTGTATAGAACACATCTGTATTGTTCTCAAACAGTTCTTATTTATTTTTTTATAAATAATAGAAATAGAAAATTTGAAAATATTTTCATGAAACATTTTATTAAATAGGTATAAACTTGTAAAATTATTAAACTTTAAAGAAAATAATATATAATTTAATTATAATCAACATTAAGAAAAATGAAATTGGTTTGAATGAATTTTTTTTTATTATAACTAGTACAAATAAAAATTTTAATACTTTTAAATAAATACAGCTATAAGTATAAATTTGTAAAATTACAAAGCTAAGAAAAAAGGAAATATAAGAAGTAGCTTGTTTTAAATAAAAATTACTTTTACTTTGTGTATTTTGAAATATTTTTACAAAAGAAAATATAACATTAAACAAATTTTCCTTCAAAATTTAATTGTCTTGATCTTAATTATAAAAGTTTGAAAAATTTTGATAACAAGAAAAAATACATTTGATAGATTTTAAATAAATTCATGAAATATTCATTAAGTTTTATAAAAGTTAATAATGGTTGTATTTAATTAACACTCTTAATTTTCAATGATAATAAACAGAGTTTAGATCTTGAATCAATGATTTTAAAAAGATAAAATTTGATTAATATTAATCTTGACGAACAATATAAAAATTGAATTTTCATTATTTAGTAAAATACACCAGTGATTTATTACACTGATATTAAACATTATCATATAAATCTAGAGAAAGAACATAAATTAAAATTAAGTAGAAAAAGCTAAGAACTCAAAAATATAAAATTACCATATCCTAATTAATTATAACTGATTCTAGTCTAAGATATATTTTATTTGAATTATAAAAATAAAAAAACCTGTGGCACATCTCTTCAAATAAGATAATAAAGATTTTGGTAACATGTATGGCATACTCATAGAAGGGAGATTAAGATTTTAAAATGTTGGTTAATCGCATTTTATATTATTTAATATCTTTATTTAAACTCTTCATTACCATGATGAGTATTGAATATTAATTTATTACAAACTTTATATGTAATATTGTATTATTTTATATTATACCTATAATTATTATTTATCGATTTCAATGCAAAAAATGTACATTTTAGTAATTGTATTAGGATAATTTAAAAAAAAAACTTTGGCTTAAAACCCTTTAAACTGGTTAAAGTATAACAAATTGATTCATTAAATAACATTTTAGTTATTAATTTCAAAAATTGATTGTCATATACTCATATCTGATAAT